AAAAAAAAAAGGTTTTCTATTTTTTTCATTTCTCTAAAATATTCGTTTTTTTATTGACATGAAAATAAGTCTTTTGTGTCTTGATTTTGTTTTGTGAAATCATTTTCTTAATTCTTTTGATAAGTTAATGAATTTGGTTTTATACAGATTGATGAACATGTACAGAGAGAGATCATAAACCATAGAGACTTGAAGCATCCCAATATCATCAGATTCAAAGAGGTATAGTATTTCTAACATGATTGAAACCATAACGATAATTAAGTATGAATCTTGGTCTAAAATCCCGTTTAGTCGTGAAAACACATAAAGCAGAGAAAACAAAATAATCTGAGCCAAATATGTGATAATAGTCTAGTGATGATTTACCTTGTTAGTGTTCAAAATATTGGTATGGTTATTAACATATAATTTTCTTTGACCATTGCAACAAATAGTTGGCGTGCAAGTAGATTTACAATAATCTGAATTTCAATCTTCGGTTAAAATAAAATTATGGATAATCTGGTCATGTAAATTATGTGTATCATTTCATATGGTTAAGACTTTGGACTTCTTCTTAGAGATGTATTAAATTGCTTTTAATAAATAGTATGTCTCATTCTCCAACGGTCCAAAATTCGAGTTTCATATGCCAGCGAATGTATATTTTATTCACGGCGTTGAAAAATCTTTCTATTACAAATTAATTCAAGATTATATAAAAATAGAAGCAATCCGTAGGTCGTCTCGATCTTTAAGAAATCAAAATTAGAATAAAATAAAGGGTATAAATTTGTGTGTGTTTTTAGAAAAAACAAATAAATATTCGTGTGTTATATTTTGTTTATGAGTTTTGTAGGTTTTTGTAACACCAACACATCTTGCCATAGTAATGGAGTATGCAGCAGGTGGTGAACTTTTCGAAAGAATTTGCAATGCTGGTAGATTCAGCGAAGACGAAGTATATTACTTAATTCAAAATTAACCATAATTCAAAACTAATTAATCTTGTGGCTAATTATAGAGATTGATTAATCTTTGTTTATCATTTAGGCAAGATATTATTTCAAACAACTTATCTCGGGAGTTAGCTATTGTCACGCTATGGTACGTATGAATGTAATAAAACTACATTCATGTAACGTTTTATTAATTGGAACTTTATGTTATTGGATTTTATTTTCATTGCAGCAAATATGTCACAGAGACCTTAAGCTCGAGAATACACTCTTAGACGGAAGCTCATCGTCACAGCTCAAAATATGCGATTTCGGATATTCGAAGGTACTACATCATAGTTACACATTTCATTAATCTTCATTGATCATAATATGTTAAAATATTTAATTGTGAATTATTTGTTTTCTTAACTGTAAATGCATGCAGTCATCAGTATTACACTCTCAGCCAAAATCCACCGTGGGAACACCGGCTTACGTTGCTCCGGAGGTCTTGTCCCGGAAAGAATATAACGGGAAGGTACCTAATTAAATTATTAATGAATATAATAACTTGACCAAATTTAATAACATCAACTTGTTTATAAATAATCATATAACTTATATTAAATTTGATTTTTAATAATATAGATTGCAGATGTGTGGTCGTGTGGGGTGACATTATATGTAATGTTAGTTGGTGCTTATCCCTTTGAAGATCCAGAAGATCCAAGAAACATTAGAAAAACCATTCAGGTACTTACAAAATTAATTTAATTAAATTTAAATCGAACGTCCATTCCACTAATTAAACTTTTTTATAATCTTGGCTTATATATATTTACGAATAATAATAAATTTTTATAATTAATATGTATTATACAGAGGATATTAAGTGTACATTACACCATACCGGACTACGTCAGGATTTCTTCCGAGTGCAAGAGTCTCTTATCTCTTATCTTCGTCGCTGACCCTGATAAGGTAAATTTAAACCGGTTAGAAAGGACAAACCAAACTAATTATATAAATATGATTTAGTGTTTAGATACCTTAAGAAAACCAAAACAGAACTTATATGTATGTATAACTTAAACAGAACCAATCTACAATC